CCCCCCCCCCCCCCCCCCCAACCACCAAAAAAAAAAAAAAGATACAGTGAATCTCTATGGTGCGTAATGTATGATAGAGGTTAAATTGTCATTAGTTTGCACAACTTCATTAACAAGTCCAAGTTGCTACATAATCCCTAGAATCTATAAGAACTCTCGCAATGGAAAGTGCGCTAGCTGTGTAGCAAACAAATAAAGTTTGTGGGGGAGTGTTATGTATGGCAGAAAAATCAGATTAATCTATAACAACCAATTCGAAGAGGGAAAACCAATTAATCTATTATTAAAAAATGAGTTTTTATATAACACGTTCATGAAAACAGTGAGGAAGATGTTTTATGTTATTCAATGTTTTCAAAGACCACAAAAAACAAAAAAAAATCATTTTGATGTTTCTTGAATCAGGTATTTCTAACTCTGATGTGGTAGCAATTGTTGGCAAAAGGAAAAAAAAATTGTTTGGTTAAAGAAGACACATCCATTGTGCAAACCTAAAACAAAGTGGAGTTGGTTATCTAAAAAAGTGTCATTGATAATTTCGAAGAGTTCTATCAAGTATTCAAGTTAGTGTGTCAATGGCTAGACCTTATTAAGCATTGCTTCACCCAAATAAATCTTATGTAATAGAGTCCAATTTTTCCCTTCTTAAATCATTAACCTTTCTATTAAACTTTCAACTACTCTAAAAGTTTAAACTATTAAAAAAAAGTGTAACATTAATATTTATATACTCCAACACGTCCCCTCACATGCGAGGCAAATACAGGAACAAGCATGTGCATTTTTTTTTTATCTAGGTGGCTGCCAGATTGATTCGCACGTAGGACCTCCTACTCTGATACCATGTCAAACCACCAATCAAGATTGAAGAAGATTCCAAGGTTGAAGAAAGAGGATTCTAAAGGTGAATCATAGCTTTGGTTCGTGGAGCTAATCATTGGCCTTTAAGAGCTTATGGTGGACTATGGAATGAAGGTTCATGTTGAGAAAGCATCTAACCATGAATTGGTTGAGATATAAGGCTTTAAGCCTTGTAACCTTACTTGGAAGCCTATTAGCTGAACTTGGTTTGTGGTTTTTTACCCGGAACGGTTTTCCAAGTTAAAACATTGTAGGTGTTGTAGATGCATGATATCTTACTTTATATGTCCTTTACTTGTGATTTGTATGATCCTTTGAGCTTAATTAGTTTGATCAATTGTTGAACCCATTGAGGGTGTTGGGAAGAATTTGGGAGTTCTGGTTGAATTGTACAATTAGTTGCATATAGGTGTTGAAAAGGTTTTACTTGGGCATTAATTATGCATTGAGTACATACAATACAACCTATTAAACCCCCCCCCCCCCAAAAAAAAAAAAAAAGGTTATTCGTAAATATGATTTCAATGTTGGGATTCATCCTTTGCACTCTCACATGTCAAGTACGGAAAAATCAAGAAAAAGATGAAGAAGATGAAAAAGAAGAAACTAGGCAAACTAGTCATCATACCTATGGTCCCATGGTCATCACACATACAACTTGGGATGCATCGTACGATTCTGAAGAGGATATCTGAAATCACACTAAATTGATCTCCATCTAATTCCGTAAGATACATGGCTTTTATAGACTCGAAATCCTCCCACACTCATTAAGACTTGAGGTCCCAATTTAAAAACGAAAAATTTTGACCAATGAAAAACAATAAATACTAGCTAAACCATTAACTCATCTACAAATAAATAGAACTCATGGTTTTCTATTTTATTCTTTTCAGTAAATATGAAATCCCCTAATAGTCAAGAAAACATCTATAAAATTGCCTGAACACAACAAAATATAATATAAAATGGGTAACCTTAAGCTTAAATTTGATTGTGTTGGGTCCCAAGTGGTCCCACTATAAAACCAAGCTAAAATTTCAAAGTTCTTTTCCAATTGAATTTACTATTTCTACCTCTTCTTATGAATTGCAACAGTACCACCGTACAGTTGCATTTTGCTTTGTAAAATCATCTCCAACCCTGACTCAAATCTTTCTCTTGTTACCTTTTTTCTCTCATAAACTCTCATTCTCAAAAAATATCTCTCTCGTCTCTCATAGGAAATTGCTTAAGACGAAATTGAAGACAGGAAATACTATTAGTTGATATTGGGTTATTATTGAGTAGATAATTTAAAAATTCTCTTGCTTTAGACGGTAAAAAGCTCACAAATCTACCACTCAAAGAGATTGGTATTCCTAATTTTTCATTTGGTTAATATTGGTGAAGTTTGTAAGAAACAAATTTTAATACAAGGGAGCCTTTTATTTTTTGTTTTTATATTGGGGAGAGGATGAAGTGGAAAAAATTTTAAAAATGAGATTTGGGATTGTAAGGGAATTTAATACAAGATTTGAATAGTTTTTTGAGTTTACCCATTGGAGAGTTATATACCAAATCAAATTTAAGGTCTCAGCCTCATTCACAATCCGAACCAAACTAAAGCTGGGCCAAGGGAAATATAGGCTAAAAAGAACAGACATATTCACCTACTTTTGTTGCACTTCTGTTTCGGTATCTTTTATATTAAGGATTTAATTACTTTCTTGAGATTGTCCTATGTAAATAAGCCACGCGATAATATGTCACCACATGAAGATTTCTGAAAGGGAAACATTCTTAGAGGTGATCTTAATCCTCAAATAAACTGGAACTACAATTCTGTGTCCACTAATAGTTATGTTCACCTAGCATGAGAAATATGTAAAAAAATAAATCTACATCAATTTCAGATTATTCTAATCCCTTATTAATAATCTAGGTATGACACTTGAGAATCTGGGTATGGGTTCATAAAAATAACCAAATCAACACATCACCAGATGATAAAACTTTTCATACCTTTGCACCATACCTTTCTTTAAGCTCCATGTTTCCACCAGTGTGATCATAATGATGATGAGTGTTCAGTATGTAGGTCAAATTACGATTTTTCCTACTCAAGGCATCTATAACAGGTACAGCTTCAGAAGGGTCAACCACTCCAACAGTGCCAGTATCAACATCGTGCAAAAGATAAGCATAGTTGTCCTTGAGACATGGTACCTGATAATAGCATAAAGTGACTAAAGGTTAACAGAAACTGTTTCAGATGTAACAAGCATTTAGCTTCCTAACTTAATCTGTATGCCAAAAGGATAGAGAAACCCGGGTTTTTTTTTTTTTTTGAGGGGGGGAGGTAGACACACCATATGATGCATTTTACTTTAGTATCTCAACTAAACACAATCCACAAACACAAGATATACTTCCCTGCTTGTGCAAGTGAATCTGCTTACTATATCAGGAAGCACTATGATCAGACAACTCGTAACTGCGCTTGCATTTAAACTAAAAACAATATATAATATGAAGAGTTTCTTATATTAAAAGGCAAGATGAATTCAGCTGCATTGCTTTCCTAAAACTAGGTTTCGCATTGAAAACTCAACAGCCATGTTATAGAGCCTTTTTGCCAATGCAATATGAATTCAGCTGCATCGCATTACTGAAAAAATATTTTGCATAGAAAACTATTGAGTCATTTAACATGGTGTTTTCGCCAAAAAAGACATTCAAAGATTGAAAATCGCATGATAAAGGACAACAATATGAAGAAAAGTAGTACAATATAATTCTTAATACATAAAAAATGGAAAATGTAGTGAAATGGAGCAGATTATCATAAATTATGATGAAACATAAGATAGGAAACGCTCTCACCAATTCAATTTGCAATGTGGAAGACATGTTGGCAATGCTACATAAATGAGAAACTCGAAGTGATTGACTAACTCCACGCACGGTTTTGAATGGCAATGACAAGAAGTGCACAAATCCATACAAGAGATTTTTTCTAAGGCAAAGTTGTCTCGTGCCCGGCCATACACAAAGCCCATTCCCCGTCTAAACATTGAAAATAAAGAAACAATCATTTATTAAATAGGAAAAGTATTGACATCCAAACACAATAAATTTTAACAGCACAAACTATATTAACCATGACCAGATATTTTGTTTTGCTAGGAAAGAAGGACATACACAAGTGGAGAGGAAGGAAGTGGGTTGCAAAAACAAGACCAACAAATCTGCACCATCATGTGCTAACCAGGACAAAATATATAATAACAAGCATTCTCCATTTAATTGTGCAGGTTAACAAAAAACAAGCTTAAATTCTAGCATCCATTACTCATAAGAACAATACATATGGCCTTTTATTTCCATCGTTAGAACAAGTTGAACCTAGGAATGCCACAATGTTAGCTATAAAGCTCAGAATGACTAAAGCACCACAACAAATGGTTTCCGGATATGTCAAGATCGAACCAGAGGTCCTAAGGAGTCTCTGTTCATCTTCGTTGAAGACAGGAGTATGCATCCGACCCCATTGTTACAATGGCTCTAGCTAAAGGCTACCAGCGGTCTAGAGAAGACAATACTCTCAATTAAGATAAGTTAAGATCATCTAACAAGGACTACTTACAAGGCAGCAGCGACAACCAAGTCCAAAAGACAAAGTCGTCATAGCTCAAAAGGTGATGAAAGATTTGTAAGCAAGCAGCCATCTAGTGAACAAGAAAGAAACAAAGGCATGATGACAACCATTGGCCCATTAAAATTTTCATTCACATCCTTTCGATTTCAAATTATAGAAATGGGGCTCCATTGTGTACGTATTTTTTATTATATTTCTTAAGTNTTGAAAAAATATAAGCCAAAACTACAAGTCCATGTAATCATATTAACTGAATAACCATTGGCCCATTAAAATTTTCATTCACATCCTTTCGATTTCAAATTATAGAAATGGGGCTCCATTGTGTACGTATTTTTTATTATATTTCTTAAGTAAATTAGAGGTAGTTATTGGGAAGTTATTAGTTTTGTAGGTGGTTAATTGAATAGTGGAGACATGAATTAGATTAGCTATTGAAATCATTTTTATTATTTTGTATTTAAAGACCCCATCATTAATGAAATGGGTATGTTGGATATTGTATTTAACTTTATTGTGAAAATTTTTGGAGACCGAGTTCTTCTCAAATTGAATCACCAGCGGTTTCTAACCCCCTCGAAATGGGTTTCCTTTCCCCAATTCAACTTTTCATTTATTTTCAAAATCCCTTGAAATCATACACATAACAATTGATATTAAAACCGATGATCCTATTAATGACCATCTCATTAGAGATTTTGAAGTTGATGCCAAAAGATTTTAAAAGTGGTTCAATAGATTCATTAAGCAAAATCAAACGCATACAAGAGAGCTTCAACAAAGTTATAAAAATCCTCTATGAAGGTGTGTCCACTCAAGTGAAGGAACAGATGACGAATCAAATTGGGATCAACAAGCACATGACACTTGAGCACAACAAAACAAGAAGACAAGAAGCATATTCTAGTGAGATTCAAGCCTACTCAAGCACAGTAGCAAACGGTAAGCCATTTGGGACACATTTATCTTCATTCTTACATAAACTTATCACCGAACAATCCATTGGTCAATTGATTGAAATTGTTGATCGCATAGATTATCTTCAAGAGGAAAATTTAATTGCCAATCAACACCATCACTCAATTAGCCAAGAAGGAAAATTCAATGTTAATGAGAAGGAATCAAATGTTGTAGTAATTAAGGATATGATTTTATTAGTGGTTGTTAGAGAATCAAGATGGCACCCGTGCTGGAGAGGTTTTAATGCAAGTTGCTCCTAAGGAGTCACATGCTGGAATCGAAGTACTTTGCTTCCACTTGTTAAACACAACATTTTGGCTTTGTTTCCTCAAAGTTGCTTGACAAAAAGTATCCACCTACCGTCTTAGTTGTGAAAACATGGATCAGATTGGTAGTTACGAGGATGACGAAGTGGGCCGGCCAAGGCCTTTTCTTACACAAAAAATCAAACTTTGAGGACAAAATTTTTAAAAGAGGAATGGAATGTTATGTATATATTTTTTAATATATTTTTTATGTAAATTTGAGGTAATTATTAGGAAGTTATTAGTGGGTGGATTAGTGATAAAGTTAGTACGTAGTTTTGTAGGCGATTAATTGAATAATGGAGACATGGGTTAGGTTAGTTATTAAGATAATTTTTATTATCTAGGATTTAAAAACCTCATTATTAATGAAATGGGTGTGTTAAATATTGTATTTAACTTTCTTGTGAAAGTTTTAGAGATCCGGTTCTTCTCGAAGTGAACCAGCAGAGGTTTCTACCCCGCTCGAAGTGAGTTCCCTTTTCCCAATTCTACTTTTCATTTATTTTCTAAATCCCCCGAAAGCGTGCCCATAACAGGTTCTCAACGTCCAATCATGTAGAGATGGAGAAAGGCGTTGAGATCACAATCCTAGTATATCAACTTGAACCATGTTTTACAGTGTAGTTCACATTTCATAATTCTTACACAACCGTCAACAGAAACGCACTGCGACTGATGTTCGAATCCCACTAAGAAATGGAGTGGAATAAGGATTCAATTCTTATTGTAACAGTCAACAAACCATAAATCAACAAACCTAACATCTAGTTCATGACAAGATCCACTACTACTACCTAGGACAATATTTCATAAGGTAAAGCATGTACGAGCATATAAAATTTAAAAAAAAAACCGAAATTTGATTACTTTAACAGTGTGTTCCGGGTGGACATCACTAAAATTTTGTCATTCTATCAAGAAGTAAAACATGCCATAATTATATACAATATATAGAGAGAGAGGGGGGGGGGGGGAATAACAAAGAATATAAATATGGTGAGAGTGAGAAAGGGATACCAACCCTAGAACGAGGGAAGGAAGCCATGGCAAAGGGTGTTGCTCTACAGATCATTTGCATCACTCCGATTTCATTTTAAAGCGAGAGAAAAACAGTATCACATAATGGGTGTTGGCACAAAAACACTTCGCCTTTTTTGAGTTTTTGTAGAAAATCCCCTCCGTAGAAAAAGAAAAAAAAAA